GGGGGGGAAGGTGAAAATTTGAAATGCACACAATAATTCTTGGCTTCATTCAGAAAAAAATCGTTTCGATTTTTTGAATGCCGCTTTCATCGATATTTTCTATCGCTTTTGACAACAAATGGGGTCATTTAGCTTCATATCAAAAAATCCATAACGTTAAGAAAGAAAGTCACAATTTGATTCATACTCAATAAGGACAGTGTCTATATCCGTACCTATATTCTAGCTACTAAAAATATTGAATCCACTAAACTAAAATCCTGATTTTGAGGGTATAAAGTTGACACGCTGGAAATAACAGTAAAAGTCCATGAAAATATTCATTGCGTAATATTTGGAAAACGCTCTCATACATTTCTTTCATATTGCAATATGTTGGGTGCCTTGATGAATACTATCGACTGGTGCAAGTCGCTTTGAAAGTTTAGGTCTAGTTTTCGACAAAATAAGCAGTAAACGATTTCTATGATGTCATCATTACGTCATAATGAAAAGGCCGCTTTAAACTAATTTATCATTTTTGAAGCCTTTAGTCCTTTCCTGACATTGTGTGAAAAGTGCTTGCAGATCGAGTTATTGTAGCCGTTTCAATGTGGCTAGGTGTGCCAGACCAAAACTTCCCAGAGCCTCTTTGAAGTCATGCAAAAAAAATACGAAGCAAGGCTTGTAGTTTCTTCCAAAGATTGTGCATTTCCCCCATTTTTCTGATAAAAATTTGCCCATTCCCCCCTTTTTCCTACCAACATTTTCACGATTCCCCCTCACCTGACCCCCCTCTGCCATACATTATGAACGCAGCCTTATTAAAAATTTCTTATTAGCCTTGTTATGAACATAATGACATTTTTTTATACATAATCATGTCATAAACAGATGTTTAGGCTTTCAATAAATAATTCATACATATTATATAAATATATATATACTAACAAGTTTGTATTGTAAAGGGGGAAAATATTATTAAGGGGAAAATATTACTAAGGGAAAAATAATCTAGAAAAAGAAACTTATTTGTTAAGCCTTCTGTAAATAACAAATGTAAGGAAATCTCTTTATTTTAATGACATGTCAATAGACAACTTGTCATTGACCAATGGTAAGTCATTCACCATGACTTGTCTATTATACTCCAGGGTCAAGGATGTTTGTTCAATGACATGACCTTACACTTTTAATTGGGAAGTACTTTTTGTAGTAAACAACAGCTGCAAATCTACTGTACTTTTCCAGTGAAAACGGGTTTTGGTCACGTACAACTTTGTACATGCGTACTGGAAAAGGGCAGGGTTGTTTACTGTACAAACAACTACTTCCTAAGCCTTTTTCTGTTCACTTTTTCAGGATGATCTTACTTATAACTTTAGAATATCTTTAGTACAATCTGCTCTTTACGAGTTACATTGGCGAACACCATCGACAGATTTTCAGGGTCAGCTCTTAGAACTGAGTGCTCGTACTTCTTCCTAAAGTCAACACCTGTCTCAAGCTCTCAAGTCATACTTGACCTAACTGGTC